TGCTGTCTGCTGCAGCCGGCTTTGTTCACACAAACTGCCCCTGATTCTCCCTCCTCCCTCCTCCCTCCTCCTTCCCCCTCCCTCTCCCCCCCTTCTCCCAGACAAGGAGTGAGTGGGGTTGTGTTGGAGTGGGGGGTGTGCTGTAAATATTCTGGGGAACGCTGAAGGTATTCATAACTCCAGACGGGAAGTCCTGCCTGGAGAATCCAGCTCTGGATTGGGAGGTGGGCATGCACTATTTCTGCAGCCTGACAGATGGATCCGCTCGAGGGGAAGGAGAGAGAGGAAGGCAAGCTGGACCTTCCTTACTGTCACAGCCGGTCCTCTCCATGTGCTTCGTGCCAGGAACACAAAATCCAGGGGCATGCTTGCCAAGGTGAAAAGAAGGGCCTTAGATTGTGCACAGGCAGGGTTGACTGGTCCCCAGGGTGATGGCTTCAGAGGTGCATGACGCAAAGGAGCTTGCCCTGGGGAAGGAGACTGGGGTGGAAGGATGGGGGTGCAGCCCTGTCTGAATGTTTCAGCAGTCTTGGGGCTCGGTCTGATTCTGCATGACAGATAATTCCAGAGTGAGATTGCTGACATGATAAAAGGAGAGCAGATGGTTCTAATACTTTATTTTCAGAATGTATCTTTCCCTATTCTTTTTTTCTTGCAACTACATCACCCCAGACTTCAGAGGAGAAAGTACTAGGTTCCCCCCTCCCCTGTTGGGTTTATTTCCTTTGCTGATCTACTTTGATGGCAGTGCTGATAACAGCTGACAATGGCTGAGACTTCCTGTGGGCCAGGCACTGTTTAAATGTATTCTCACATAACCCTCCCATTGGTGAGGTAGGTGTGTTGTTGTCATCATCATCCCTGTTTTCCAGAGAGGATGCTGAAGCACAGAGAGGTTTAACAACTCACCTGAGATCACGCAGTTAGCAGCAGAGCCGGGGTTGGAATCCAGGCAGTCCAGATCTAGCCTGCCTACTTACCCACTATAGATCCTATCTCTCTGAAGGCTGGGCCGACCCCAGAGTAGGGCAAGAACAGCTGATGGCACTGAAATGACCGCTGCTGTGCGGCTAACCACTCTGGCCAGATTTCCAAGGTTACCTCTGAGGGGAATTGTACTCATGACTCAGGAACTGATTGGGTCCTGCGTTCACTGTGGCAGCAATTATGCTATCAAGCTGGCTGTTTGGAATAACTTAGTCCCATATCTCCACCCCTAGCCCCAGCAGGTTCCTGGGACCAGCTACCTAATTTGCGGGGCCTAGTGCAAAGTGAAAACGAGAGGGAGGCCCTTTGTTCAGTAAGTATTAAGAATTTCCAGATAGTAACAGCAAAGCATTAAACCAAATGTGGGGCCCTTCTGACTCCAGGACCCTGTCTGAATGCACAGGTCACATGTCCATGAAGCTGGTCCATAAGTGTTGAGAGTGGTAGGTAGATAGGATGAAATACAGAAGGTGAAACTGCTGATTTTCCTTCTCTTCCAAGCTAGTCCAATCAGGATTTCCAAGGAATTTCTTCTCATCTAAATGGAGCAGTCTGATCTGGATACAGTTCAACCATAATAAATCTTAGAAATCTCGTCCCTAGGATGAAGTCATTTGAAGGACTGGGACTTGGGTCAGCAGCTTCCTTTTGGGGTCAGGCATCTTGCTTATTATCTCTAATTCCTCCTAACCCTGCCTTTCACCCCCCCCTCCACTCCCCCCTTTTCCCTTTAACCCATGAGTCTGCTCAGGAAACTACTCTGTTAAAGGACAGTCCTCCCTCAGCCTCCCTGATCCACCCACCAATCTCATTCTTTCCCCCATCCACAGCCATGCTGGAAGGAACAATCTGTTGGGCCTGTCACTACTTCCTTATTTCCAGGAGCACCCTAGTCTCACTGTCTTCTGCGAGGTTGCAGATTCCCTTCTCACTAAGGTGACCAAATTGCTAAATCCAGTGGTCTCTTCTCAAATCCCATTTTTCTTGACCTTTAGGCATCTGGTATTGTTCTGGCTCTGCCTGTGTGCCTGAGTCTGCTCATCTGTGGATGGGGTGAGGGTTGCTGTGTGAGTAAATGTAGTTGAAGCCCTAGAACAGGCCTGGCACATGGTACTCACTCAATAGTTAGCAGTGGCCAGGGCTGGTGGTATAGTTACTGTCATCTGGGAACCCGACTCCTTTATGTTGCTGACTGCTGTACGAGTCTCTCTTAACTAACTTTTAAAAAATAGGTTTTTCCTTTTCCACCCAACTCTTAAGATACCAATGTTTTCTGAAATCTGTCCTGTGTTCACACCTTTCATCTCTTTCTCCATAATCTCTCCAAATCCATAACTTGTATCACCACCTCGCCAACTCCAAAATCCAAAAGTCTTTCCCAAGCTCCAGGTATGCAAGCCAGCCCCAGTCTAAACTCATGCTCTTCCTTCATCCTAGAGTATTTGTAGGAATAAAACAATCTGATAGATAACTAGGTCAAATGACGATTGAGATCCTGAAATTCTGTGGTTAAGGAAGACAATGGTAATTGACATAACAAAATGGCACAAATTAAATGCTGTGGAGTTTATAGTGGGGCGATCTGTAGAGGCAGCTGAGGCCTCATGTAAATATTGATATTATCATTCTTATTTTTAATAAACATTTATCCCTTACCAATAGTATACTTGGTGATGAAATGGATTTATATCTAATGACCCCTTAATTTGATGTTCATTGACCTCATATAATTTAAAAGGTTAAATAGAAAAAGCCACAAGCAGGCCCAGAGTGTGCCTCTGGGGCCTCTTTAGGTCCCACTTCCTGAGTCAAATGGAATTGAGATGTGTAGGACCATTTAATTTTTTTTTTGCAATATTTACAGCAGGGAGAGTGAGAGGGAGATAATGTAAGTAGCCAATTGTAGGACTTGAATTTATAGTCACTAGGTCACCAGCTTGAATCTCAGACTCTCACCTTATTAAGAAAGCCAAACCAATTGCCAGGTTCTGTAGCATGAGTCAAGGGTCAAAGTCCCTTAAGAGGGTTCGGCACTAATGGCAGACCAAGCTGAAGCCTCTCACCCCTCACTATCATTTATCGAGCATCTTTTATGTGGTGGGTGCTAAGTGAGATAGCTTACAAATATTATTTCTAATCCCTTTAACCATCCTTCAAGGTAAATAGTACTGTCATCATTTTCAGATCAGAAAGAAGGCACAGAGAGATTATCTGTCTTGTCTAATTTCACAGAGCAAAACTCCCCAATTCATTTTAGGAAGTCAACATAACCATAGATGCAAAAGGCAGTATTAGCTAATAGAATGCACTCTGACCAAATGGAGTGCATTCTTGGAATCAAGAATGCTTCAGTAATAGGAAACATTAGGAAATCAACATAATTCACTATCAACAAACTAAAGAGTCATATATTAGTAGATGTTGAAAGGGCAGCCAATATAATTCTATAATAAAACTCTAAAACAGGAATAAGAGGAACTACTTAAATTTGATAAAGACTAAAGATTAGCCACATATTTTATTCTAATAAATGAAACACTAAATTCAACATCATTAAAATAGGAAAATCTTGCTTTTGCTCTTTTTAAGTATCGTGTTGGTGATTCTTACAAACTAAGCTAAGAAGATAAAATAGTTTATATAAATACAAGAAAGAAGAGATAACATCTGTTTTTTTGCCAGTGGTTGTAATACCTAAAAAACCTAAGAGAAACTAGTAAGAAAAGAAACCCTACCAGAAATAAAAAGGAATTGGATAAGGTGGCTGGAAACAGCTCTTCTCTATACTATGGAAGTCACATAGCCGGTCAACTTGGGCACCTGGAACTAGGACTGAACCCAGGTCTGATGATGATGTCTGTACTCTTTTTACCTTATGAAATATTTACACTCACTGCCATAACCCAGTCATGTGAAAAGAGTCTCTTAAAGGTTGGAATCTCACATGTTCCAGTAGATCAGGTGGGGGTTGCTCTGCTGGGGAAAGGTGGGGACATGATGCAAGGGTTGGCATAGGATTTTTACTAGAAGACCCTTGAGGCTTCTGCTGTCAGCAGTGTCATCCATCTAGGGGCTGAGATATTGTTGGGGGAGGTTGGGGGTGGTAATCTGGCCTTAAGCTATTTAGCCAGACTTCTCATGTACTGAGCATTTAGACAATAGACTGCCCCCTTTCTTCTTGGCCATATTTATGTTGCTTATTGCCCTTGTCCCAGTGTCCATTTGAGAGGTGGTGCTTGCAGGGGCACCGTTTTAGAGATGTTGGGTATCAGGCTTCTGGGGTATCAAGGGCATAAGCTCTTGGTTGCCACATCTACCAAAGATACCTTGCCTTCATGGTCTCCATGGTGGAAGTGGAACATGTTTCTCTGGCAAAATCACTGAGTGATACATCAAAAATATGATCTGTATCAAGCTTTTCTATGTCATACAGAGTCAGCCACGGGATGGTGGATGAAGTACTGCGTGGGAACCCAGAAGACTTGGGTTCTAGTGATTCTGCCACAACTAGCTGTATGTTCCCAGGCAAATCACTTAGCCTTGCGGGGCCTCACTTGCCTCATCTGTGCCATGGGGTGTTGGACTGGATAGACTCCCAGTCCAAACTTCAAAGTTAAAATAATCATCACCATTACCATGTCCTGGCACTGTTCTAATGCTTTGCATAGAGATTACCTCATCACCAACAAACCCATGAGCTAAGTACTATTATTCCATTTTTTCTCTGAAAAAACTGAGGCACAGAGAGGGCAAGTGACTTGTCTAGGGTCTTACAGCTAGGAAATGATGGAGCTCTGACACAACTTCCATCGTCTACTTCTGTGTTTTTTCTTTGCATGGGCCTATGTTGTTAGAGTGGTTCTGTCCAGGAGGTAAGGGATTGGGGATGGTAAAACTTTAAAGGAAACCCAGCTCTGGATGGGTGGATGGGAGTCACCACCTGGGAGAATGATGGCAGTGGCGCCACACCACAGGTTGCTGACATTTGTGTTTTTCCTTTCTTTTCTCTCTAGTCTGTGGCAAACGCTACAAGAACCGGCCAGGACTCAGCTACCACTACGCTCACACTCACCTGGCCAGCGAGGAGGGAGACGAAGCCCAAGACCAGGAGACCCGGTCCCCACCCAACCACAGAAATGAGAACCACAGACGTGAGTTTCCAGTTATTGCGTTGGGACAGTTGTGAAGTGGATGGGTAGGGCTGTGGAGCATTTCTTCTATCACCTGTGGCATCTTCTGGTAGTGACCGTTGATTGGTCCCAATGTCCTGTGGTGAGTTGGCCCTTTAAACCCAGTCTCAGGTCCCCCTGTGGGTCAGCTGAGTCCCAGTTTAGAGTGAGCTGGGTAGGGGTGGCACAGCAGGCTCCGCTCTCAGAGGAAGGAAGGTGAGTGTTAAAGCAGAAGGGAAACATCCTTACCTGGCTGTTGTCAAATCCCAGACCTGCTCCTCTTTTCCTCAGCTCCAGACTATCCATTCATAGCTGCTGACATGAGTTGGGGACATCCCTTGGGTGTGTAAATTCATACAGATATTCCAGATATCTCCTTAGCCACCAAGAGATGTAGAATATTCTTGATTTATTGTCTTGGCTGTTATCGGGGTTACAATTTTGGTACAAGACTATCCTGCCCTAGAAATACTGCCCTGGAGTGTCCATGCTCTTTGCCTGACCTCTCAACCAGCAAATGTGATTTGGGTGCACTTGATATTTGGGATGTTGAGCTCAAAAACCCAAAATGATCCCTAAGATTTGTTTTTTTCATTTCTATTCTTTTTTTCTTTCCTCAACTTTCAGTTATGAATTAGAGAGTCTAAAAGGGCTTAGCATTTGCCTTTTGACTTCCCTCTATAACATTCCTTATGGTTTCTGGGGCTATAGTAATCTCAAAATAGGATGGGATAATGGAATCTTCAGGACTTACTTCAATATGTGGGCATTCTAAGATCATTAGGTAAACAATAATTGTGGACATGCCATGTGTTTTCTATTTATTTATTTATTTATTTATTTATTTTTAATTGATTTCAGAGAGAGGAAGGGAGAGGGATAGAAACATCAATGATGAGAGAGTCGTTGATTGGCTGCCTCCTGCACGCCCCCTACTGGGGATCAAGCCTGCAACCTGGGCATGTGCCCTTACCTGGATTGAACCATGATTTCCTGGATCATAAGTCAATGCTCATTTTCTATTTTTTTTCCCATAAGATTTACTGATAGGTGGTCTTAAAGTGAATAATTCAGTATAATTAAAGGGATCAGACCTTTAAAAATATTCAGACTCTTGGATTTGAGGGTGACTCTTCTACATACATATCAATCATTTAATTTTGGTGGTTTGCCTTCACCAAATATTTGAAATAATTAACACAAACCTTGGCCATGACCTTCCTTTGGATTAGTGTGGTTTCCACCTAACCCCCACCCCACTTTTCCCTGTCACACTGCCTTCTGTATCAGTATGCTCAGGCTGCCATAACAAAATACAACAGAGCAGGTGGTGTAAAGGACACAGGTTTATTTTCTTAGCACCTGGAGGCTGGAAGTCCCAGATCAGTGTGCCAGCAGGGTTGGGTTTTCTGGGGCTTCCTTCCTTGGCTTGCGGATGGCTGCCTTCTGGTTGCTTCTTCATGTGGCCATCCCTCTGTGCACATGCACCCTGCTGTCTCTTTGAGTGCCCAAGTTTCCTGTGCTTATAAAGACACTGGTCAGGTTGGATCAGAGCCCTCCTAACACTTCATTTGTACTTTCTGCTTTAATCACCTCTTTACTATAACCACATTGTGAGGTACTGGCTTCAATGTGTGAATTTGTGGGGGACACCTTCTTTCATTCTTACTCACTTTCAGGGTTCAAGCCTTTTGTGTGACAGAGCCTTGTTTTCTTGCCTACTGTTGTCCTACGGAGACAACTTGGAAAGCAGGGTAGGAGGGTCTGACAGAGCTCTGCCCACCTTTCCTTCCCAGCAGCTGAGCAGCTACAACTCTGAGGTTTCTGTCTTCTCTCTGGGGCAGGGTTTCCTTGGTCCAGCCACCCTTGTCTTTCAGAAAGGAAAATATTTCTATTTCCCTGTCTCTCCTCTTGCTCCATCTCTGATCTGAGTGGCCGAAGTATAGCCAGGGTATAGGGTGCTGCAGAGGCATCCAGTGTCCATAGAAGCCACCCTTTCCCCATTCCCCAATTTCTCTGTCGTCTTCTATCAGGAGGAGGCTGAGAGTGACCTCCTTTGATTTGGGTTGCTGTCTGGAAAGTATTTATTGGCCATGGCTGCTCTCTCTGAAGTATTTATTAGGGTGGTATTATTTCTCACTCCTCCCTTGCTGCCTTAGCTCCTTGACATCTCTTCTCAAATGTCAGATCTTTTGTTCCTGTGTCTAGGTGCCCTTCTCACACTATAGGGCTGAGAATGCTTCTCTTTTGTCTGTGTCTCTTTTGTGTGTGCCCAGTGTTGGCAACAGCAGAGGAAGGTTCCTTGTGGCCCCTCAAGTATCCTGCAAGCCCTGAGTGGGTCGACACCGTCTCTGCTAGCTCTTCCTGCTGTCCCCTCTGGCAGGCTGGTGACTTCAGAGATGGGCCCTTGCATAGTTCTCTCTGTCCCCCAGGATTTCCTCACATACTCTCAGGGGTCAGTGCCTTCTGCCTCCTCATGCCCTCACCTTGAGGCCAGATGGCTTTGCTTGGCAAGGAAGCTGTCTTTCTTTGATGGAGACACCTTCCTAATAAATCTCATCCCGATGCTTGTCCTCTCTCTCTGGTTTGTTCGTGAGCACACTTGCCCCAGCCCCTCTCCACCCCTCCTCTCCGTCTCCCCTTGCTGATGAGAAAGTGGGTTCTTCAAAAGGATCACCTGACTACCCAAGGGTGTTACACTGCATAGAAATGAATAACTCTACCTGTACTCCTCTGGGGCCTCCTCACACAAGGAAGGTTCCAGAACCCTGACAAATACCTTTTTAATGATATCGCCTCTCAGTGCCCCCTTTGTGATGAACCTCAGTTTTGCTACTGTGGAGGGCACAGCAGAGAGGCCTCCAGTGCCCATAGGAGCCATCCTTTCCTCCTTCCCCAATTTCTCTGGATGAATCTGAGAGATGGCAGCTTTTCCCAGATTCTCTGCACTACACAGGCCACCCATCTGCTTGCTGCTCCGAATGTGTGCTCGGTTTCCCCCCTCATTCCCCTGGTGAGCAGCCCCCAACCGTTTTCCTGGGAGCACTAATTGCCAGCATCATTAGTACCCAGTCATTAGCTGCTCCCACTGGTTGTGGTGGGGGTGGCTCCCATCCGTCCTGCCCCTAAATGCCACCGGGGCTATGTGGTGAATCGAATGTGACAGCTCTGCAGCATCCTAAGGTCTCAGCTTTGTGATCCTCCCTTCGCAGGGCTTGTGGTGTGGGGGAGGGAGGCAGGGAGCTTAATCCTCGAGGCTAATCTGCTATTCCCTCAGGAAGCGGGCTGCTCTCTGGTTGCCAGTGGGGTGGGAATGCTGACTTTTCCCTCTTTAGCAGAGCTGCAGCCTGACCCAAGCTGCTGGTGAGCACAGGCCTATTGGAGAAACAGCCCTACAGACTCAGGAGTTTTTAGGGCCATGGGCAGTTGCGTTTGCACCACCTGCAGCAAGGAGACCTTTTGACTTTGGTCCTCCTGCTGTATTTCCCCCAACTGTGTCTCCAGCGAGGCCCATTGCTCATCCCTGTGCTGCTGCTGCTTAAAGGGCAGAGTGGAGTGCTGGAGCTGGCATTGACCTTCCCCTAGCCCTGAGCTGCCAGCTCAGCAGTTGACTGCCATTCCTCCCGTCCACCTGCCCCCTGCCAGCTGATGTTCTCTGGCCTTTGTTCCTGTCCTAGTCCCTCATTATCTCCTGAGCATACGCTTCTCATCCTCCTGTAGGCTTGTCCCCTTTCCTTTGTGCCCTTGCCTTTCTGTCTCAGCTACATGCACCCCAGAGCTGCTTGGAGCTCAGACACCCCCCCTTGGGAGCTAGTACTTTTCTAATGGGGTCTTCCCTACCTGAGCTGCTGCCCTTCCCTCTCTGGATTCTTCTTCCTTCCTCCATTTCTTTTACCACCTTCATCTACTTTATATAAGTGAAATCATTGTGTGTGTGTGTGTATGTGTGTGTGTGTGTGTGTGTAAAAGGAGGGAGTGCTTGGGCAGGTTAGGATTCTGAGAAGCATTCTGTTGTGACTCTTTAAATGCCACTTTGGTGAGCAGCCCCAGTGGGGCCAGGGTAGCAGAAAGAGCGCTAGATTAGAGGTCAAAACTCCTTTGACACAGGCTCACAGGGTCAAAACTCTTCTTGAGTTTCTTTTTACCTTCTCTGTACAGCGGGAATCTGTTATAGACGATGTTTTTAAGGTATTTTGAAGGTGGGGTGGGAATGGGCATTTATGAGGTCCTGAACCTGGATGGAAAAGCTATATAAATAAATTCAGTCTAATCCATTCATTCATCCGTCCGTCCATCTGGTCATCCATCCATCAGTTTAGTAACGATGCACTGAGTGCTGCCTTGTTTTCTTTCCTTGAGCAGCTCACAGGGTATGTGGAAGGTGGTCGAGGAGCAAAGGCTCTAGGGCACAGTACACTTTCTACTCCACAGGGCAGTTGTGCTCTCAGGGTAGCAGCAGCATCACCTGGGAACTTATGAAAATGCAGATTCTTGGCTCCAGCAGACCTCCTGAAACAGACTCTGAGGGTGGGGACCAGCAACCTGTGTTTCAAGAAAACCTCCAGGACATTCTGGTGCCACTAGAGCCTGAGAACCACTGCATTAGAGGAGGTAACTGGATATACAAAGACAGGGAGGTATGACATAGCTGGCACATCAGACAATTGTAGCATTTGGGTCTGAGCATTGGAAGAATGGTGGAACGTAGGCAAGGCCACAGCTGGAAGTGTCTTTCTGTGTGTAGTAGCTATCCTGTAGGAAATGAAGAGCCACAGTAGCCATTACTAGATGACAAGAACAGATTTATAAGAAAATCTTTTTGGTGTAGAATTGTTGAGTGATCTCTCTCTTATTTCATAGGATAAATAAGTATAAAGTGCTCTCTAGAGCATACTTGGAGCTCCTAACAGGAAAATGTTTTTTAAAATATGAGTCTATAAAATTTATTTCAAGCCTATCTTCATGGAATGGAAGTTGGGTTG